TAATAATAATAATAATAATAATAATAATAATAATAATAATAACAATAATAATAATTAATAACAATGATAATAATAATAGTAATAATAATAATATCAATGATGATGAATAATAACATTGATTGATAATAGCAACAATAACAACAACACTGTAATATTAACGATGCTAGTAATAGTAAAGATGATAAAACAGTGATAATAATAATGATAATAACAATAACAATGATGACAATGATAACAATAATGAAAATTATGTTATTGTTCAATAATAATGATGATAACATTAATGATGATGATAATAATAAAAGTCATGATGATAATATTGATTATGATAACGATGTTAATAAGGATTACAATAATAATGATAGTAATGATAATATTGATAATAATAATAATATATTCATAATAATCTAGTAGTGAGAGTAATGATAATGAATGTAAGTAAAATATTGATATAATTTTAATAATAATAATGATAACAAGAGAGGTAATAACGCTATTGATGATAATGATAAGGATAACTATAACAAAAATCACATCAATAATAATAATGATAATATTAGAATAATAATAACAATAATAATAATAATAATAATAATAATAATAATAATAATAATAATAATAATAATAATAATAATAATAATAATAATAATGATAATGATAAAAATATAATAGTAAAATAGTGATAATAATAATAATAATAATAATTAATTAATAATAATAATAATAATATAATATAATAATATGATAATAATAATAATGATAATAATAATAATAATAATAATAATAATAATAATAATAATAATAATAATAATAATAATAATAATAATAATAATAATAATAATAATAACAATAATAATAACAATATGATAATAATAACATCAATAACAATAAAACAATAAAAATAACGATATTGATATCAATCTTCATAGTAATAACATAACTACTACTACTTCTAATGATAATTGTGTTAATAATAATAATAATGATAATGGTAAAAGAAATTTTATCAATGATAATAATAATAATAACAATTATGATAATGATTGTAAAAGTAGTAATAAATACAACAATGATAGTAATGATAATGATAATAATTATGCTAATAATGATGCTAGTAGTAATAATAACATTATAAATTATATTATTATTATTATTATTATTATTATCATTATTATTATTATTATTATTATTATTATTATTCATTATCATTATCTATTACTATCATTCATTAGTAGTAGTAGTTTTATCATTGTTATTATTATTATCCTTATTATCATTATAGTAACCATAATGATAATAATAATGATAAGGATAATAATAATGATGATGATGATGACGATAATAATAATAATAATAATAATAATAATAATAATAATAATAATAATGATAATAATAATAATAATAATAATTAATAATAATTATAATATAATAATAATAATAATAATAATAATAATAATATTAATACTAATGATAATGATAATGATAATGATAATGATAATGATAATGATAATGATAATAATAATGATAATAATAATAATAATAAGAAGAAGAAGAAGAAGAAGAATGATAATAATGATAGTAATAATAACGATAATGATAATGATATTGATAATGATAATAGTCATAACAATAGCAATAATTATGATAATGATAATATTAATAATGATGAAAATAATAATGATAATAATTATGATAAAAATATTAACAATATTTATGATGATAACAATAGTAACATAGAAAATATCAATAATAACAACAGTATTAATTTAATAACAATAATAATAATGAAAACAACAGCAACAAAAAGAAAATAGATGAACAATAAGAATAATAATGATAGTAATGATTATTTTTGTTATCATTTTCATTGTTAGTGTTATCATCATAATCATGATTATCATTTTCATTATTGTGATTATTATCATTATCATAATCATTATTATTATCTATTATCATTATCGTTATTATTATTATCATCATTATTATTATCTATTATCATTATCGTTATTATTATTATCATTATCATTATTATCATTATTATCATTATCATTATTATCATTATATCATTATCATTATTATCATTATTATCATTATCATCAATATCATTATCATTATTATCATTATTATCATTATCATTTCTATCAACATCATCATTATTATTATTACTGTCGTTATTATTACTACAATTCTCATGACTATTATAGTAGTAATGGTAGTCATTTTAATAACAAAGATGATGAAGATGTAATAATATTAATAATAATAATAATGTTAATTACAGTAACTACATCATTAACAACTCAAATAACAATAATAAAAATAATTATGTGACACATAGCAGTGATGTTTAAAAGAAGGTAATTGCAATAACAATCAAATGATGACAGAGCATTGCCACTTTCTAAGACACAAATAAAGAGGGTGAGTAACTTACCAATCCGAGTAACAGTTGAGCAGGCACGTCGAGGCCGTGAGTACGTGAGGCAGTGAAGGAATTCATTCTTTTCTTGGTGAGTATGAGAAGAGTGAGGAGGAGGAAGAGGGGGAGGAGGAGGGATAATAAAATGGGAGAGGTGGATGGAAGGGAACTGGAGGCGTTGGCAAATACGTGGGGGGGTGGAGGTGGAAGCTTTGTGCTATGGAGGTGGAGAGGTTAGGCGTAGGTAATGGTGGAGAGGGAGGAGTAGAGGTGGAGAGATTTGAGGAGGGTTGGAGAAGTGGAGTGGCGGGAGGGATGGGGAGGATACAGGAAGGGGGAGAAGGAGTGAGGATGCAGGCACAACCGTGGGTGGGTCTTGGACCAGGGTAAGGCCGGGCAGAGAACTTTCCCTGTCCTGTGTGTGGCAGCACCTGACATGGGCACACGTCTTGGCCCTCCTTTTATACCCAGTGTGGCATCGAGGGGCACCTGAGAGGCCCATGGCAGCTTTAAAATGCCTCTATTCATTGCATACCTACGACACTTTTTCATCTCTGCAACGATTTATTAACTATATTTGTTTCTAATGGATATAGTCTGAGAGAGAACGGACGCAAGAACACAACAGGTATATATAGACGACCCCTACACACGAAAGCAAAACACGGAGAACAAAGTAAATATCAAAATGAAACTCCCTCTATTGAAACCAGTTCACAAAGGACAACTCTGCCCTGTGAGCTCTCTGCGCTATTTATTTTACACTTTGTGCTGGATGTACACGTAGTGCATAGAGATCATTTCATATTTTGTTGAGCGGTCAACAATAATGATATTAGCGTGTTTTGTTTGCTATTATTATCCCATATGTTGAATCTGGTCATGGGTCATGCATTTACAGTACCTGCCTCATCAGCGATATAAGCAAATAGTTAAACAGCAAGCAAGCCTTTTGATAAAATACCATTCAGACACAGATATTCAACGGGGCATTCTACGCAAATGTTTTATGGGAATGAAAACATGAATTCCATCACACTATTAAAACAAGTCAAACATACAGCTGCACAAACCTTGCTACATGCAACGTGACATGCTGGTGTATCTCACTTGCAACCGAATACGTATGACGGTAATAAGAGTACCTCGCAAAAAAGTATCAAACACAATGCCAAACATACATTAAATACAACGGGCACGACTGTACAAAACACGATCTTTTTTGCACAGCATACAAGTCAACAAAACCAGAACACAACACATTTACAGTGTGAAATATGCACGCAGGTTGAAAGGATCAGATCACCAGAAATCCTAAAATGGTCAGATTCGTTCCAAAACAACACTTCCTACCAATGCACTTTTATAAGCAAGCGATAGTAGGAAATATAGTTGAGACCGGAGGTAAGGAAAAGACGCTGTTCAATGAATAAAGAAAACATCTGATGATATAAAAGCTTGTGAAATAGAAAAGTTGAAAGACAAAATGTCACTGAAAGAACGTTATGCAAATGTCTTAAGTGACAGACACACAAAAACGTTTCAAAACAATGAGAGTTTCCGTATCTTGTTTCGATTAATGAAAATTCTTTCTTTCGTAATTAAAAGCAGTCATAAACGATAACCGTCGGCGAATGTAACTACGAGAGAGCAAACCATATAGTTTTAAAAGTGCCGCGTCAGTGTTTACCCGTCCTTGACAAAACAATTTGATTTATTTCTGTTCATTCTCCACGTCCTTTTCGTTTCCCCATTTCTGTCGTACTCTCTCGCCACATAGCCATTCGTCCCTTCCCCTGCATTCATTAGTGCCTCGCCCTTTCGCATTCTCACTTGCTTTAACCTTTCCTTCTTCCCACCGTTGCCTCGACTGGAAATGAATCTCCCTGCGCTCCATGGAAAGAAATCATCAACAGTACTCGAGTATTCGTCTTCTCGAACGAAGAGGAAGGAGGGCCAGCAAACCACCATAGCTCGATCGCCTGCTCTCAGCTTTAAAATCTGCTCTTGAATGATTTTTGCATGACTGCACCTGGTCAGCACTTGAGGCCATGCAACACTTACTGAAAGCACCTCTGGCAGCCTGGTCCTTCAGCTTCCGCCTTCGAGCTTCGGCCGAATTAGTAACATGAATATATACTTTTGAATCATATTTTTCCTCCCTGGTGATGGGAAAATCAAATCGCGAATTTCGGTTAATGAGATATCGCTTAAAACCTTTCCCGAAGCAAATTAGCATCATCGAGACGCGATTCCATTTATTTGTTTTCTCGTCGCATTACCGAAATTTTTTACAGACCAGTATATAAAAACACTGCTAATACAATAATAATTCCAAACAGCGGACACACCAAACACCCAAAGATTTTTTTCACAAGCAAACGAAACATCACGAAGCCAACAAAAGGAAACAGAAGCTAAATAATAACAAGCTCAAGGAAGCTCACCTCGCCGGCGTCCCCTCGACGGCCAGGGGGAAGGGAGGGGAAAGCTGCAACCCTTAAAATTGCACGCAAAGTCACATGGCCTTCGGCGCACGCAAATCCGCCCGCACTCGTTGCCCTCACTCGCCGTCTCCAACAGGGAATGGGCGGTGGAGATTTTTTCTTTCTTTTTTCTTTCTTTCTTTCTTTCTTTTCTTTTCTTGTCTTTTCTTTTCTTTTTTTTTTTTGCTTTGTTTTGTTTAAGAATGTAGATGTCGTGTTTCCTTCCACATGGAGAGGGAGAGGGAAGGAAAGAGAGAGAGAAAAAGACGACAAATATAACAGAGAAAGACAAGTAGAAGATAGAGATGGGGAAGAAGTCCTGACAGAGAGTTCTAATGATTGAAAGTACTTCTACGCAATTGATAATCTTATTAGTCATATTAATCATTCTTTTCATGACGAAGAGATCTGATGATGCCATGATGATAAAGATAATGACGATAATAATTGAGGCGTTCGTTATAATACCAACAGTAGTCATGATATTGAGTATTGTATTGATAAAAATGATAGTAATAGTAATGATTATACTTATGATAATCATAATGATGATAGTAATGGTTTTAATGATAACAACAATAATCATAATGATAGTAATAATGATAATAATAATAATAATAAGAAGAAGAAGAAGAATTATCATAATAGTAATAATAGCGATGATGATAATAACGATAATAAACGATAATGATAATAATGATAACTAGGAGCACTAGGAGAGCACATACCTCCGCCAAGGCAATTGGGTCACTGATACAATAAAAATATTCTCACTTGAATATTTACATTAAAATCACCCCTTTCTCAAGTACACTGGTGACGTATGTTAATGTAATCTCTTTGGCGTAGGGTGATGAATTTAATGGCATCTAAATTGGGCTAAGACACACCTCGGGGAAAAAATTCATGAAAAAATTATCATTTTTTTTAGTAATTCTGTTAACCAACGGACATGCGAACAAGCTAGCTAAATAATTGTGAATAATCAACGTGACCTAAAACATAACCTCCTTGGCGGAGGTAATAATAATGATAATAATCATAATAATAATGATAATTGTAGTACCATTATCATCATTGTTAACATTAATACTATCATTTTTAATGAAGATAATAACAATGATGATGATGATAATAATAATAATAATAATAATAATAATAATAATAATAGTATAATAATATATCATGTAATAATGATATTAATAATGCTAATCAGAATAATAGTAATATTATCATTAATAGTAGTATTAATGATAATGATAGTAATAAGAGTAATAGTACTATTGATAATGATAAAGAGAATAATTATAATAACAATGATAATGAAAATGTGTAGAATGATAATGATAGGAATAACATATATGAAATAAACAAAGAAAAAATAATAATGATGCTAAAAATAAACATAACATAACAATAAAGCTATCAAAGGCGCGGCTGGCACCACTGGCAAGGACACCAAAGCGTGTGGCAACAAAAAAGGCGTCACATGCAACGTTACCAACAACAACAAAGGGGATACCTTGTGATCCTTGATTTATAATGGAAACTAAACATCCACCAACGCGAACTGCACGAAGGTGATGTTGATTTAAGGCGAAAGCAAATCATTAGGCAGTCACACACCTATTCGTATGTTTCTGCTTTTATTCTTTGAACACAATCCCTGCTTTCGGTGTTCAGGAGCCTGTGTATACACTTAGAAGCGCGTGCTTATTTACTTATCACAAACGGAAGCCTACATTTATATCTGTAAGTGTACACATATTCACAAATAGGTATGTGCTGACATGCATACATGCGCATACGCAGACGTACAGTGTCTCTCTCTCTCTCTCTCTCTCTCTCTCTCTCTCTCTCTCTCTCTCTCTCTCTCTCTCTCTCTCTCTCTCTCTCTCTCTCTCTCTCTCTCATTCTCTCTCTTCTCTCTCTCTCTCTCTCTCTATCTATCTATCTATCTATCTATCTCTCTCTCTCTCTCTCTCTCCTCTCTCTCTCTCTCTCTCTCTCTCTTCTCTCTCTTCTTTCTCTCTCTCTCTCTCTCTCTCTCTCTCTCTCTCTCTCTCTATCTATCTATCTATCTCTATCTCTCTCTTCTCTCTCTCTCTCTCTCTCTCTCTCTCTCTCTCTCTTCTCTCTCTCCTCTCTTTCTCTTTCTTTCTCTTTCTCTTTTTCTTTTTCTTTTTCTTTTTCTTTTTCTTTTTCTTTTTCTTTCTCTCTTTCTCTCTCTCTCTCTCTCTCTCTCTCTCTCTCTCTCTCTCTCTCTCTCTCTCTCTCTCTCTCAGACACACAAACAACTAAACTAACAAACAGTTGAAAAACAATCGTTTTGTATAATCAAACCAGTTTAGGCCTACAGCAAAACCAATATACAATACACAGCCTTCGACATATTGCGAACAGTCGTCACCCTAAGCAATAATCCACAGCAGAGACCGTATCTGGCAACTGTTGCCAGAGAGTAAACTTGTACATCAACTGAACTTGACAACAATGGTATTAAAGGGTATATGAACACAGCCGCGTCTTGGAGCCGAAACGATGGGTTTCCCGTTTCCAGAAGGAATTTCCGGCATCGAGCACGAGAGACGCTGT